GCATTATCTGCGCACAAATACAGTACAGCCTTGGAAACCCTACTGGGCAGTTCTACTGTGTCCTACAGGGTTGCTCTAAGTTGGAATCCACTGACCGCAAACTAGCAATAGGTGTGGCGGGTTTTAAGCTCTCCAGTCCGTGGCAGCCATAAGCAATATGTAAATGAACAGGTGGGTTGTGTTCCAATAAAGCCAGGGCTTCAAAATGGTTCGGTAATTATGTACATAACCAACAGCAACGTACGGGTTGCAAAGCAACCATATCTGCTGCCCAACAGATTTTGACCCAAGCAGGAAACAGCTATGCCCCACTCAAAGATGGCGGCTAACGAGGCTGCTCTGAATGTATCGCTCTCCACAGGAATAATAATCCAATAATCCAATAATAATGCCAATAATCCAATCGCCTGCATCAGGCTCCTGAAACTTTCGTTATCCATGCAGGAGATTGCCCTTGTTTACATCCACAATTACAGAACCATTTTGAATTGGTTAGAAGACCTGAATAAAACTTTCGTTACAAAAACAGCCAATGGAGGGCCATTGTTTGCTGGTCCCGGCCTTAGAGGACTTGAAGAGGCATCTTCAGAATTCCGTGAATTAGTGGAAACCTCCTCTCGTAAGTATATGTAATCTCTCATCCTGTTTTTCTCTTTCACATGCCCACGAAGAATCTCTGGCCATCTGTCTAGCATCCATTACCTCCATGATTCCCTGCCCACCCATGAAAGCCACAAGCAGGTTTGTTCTCTAACATGACATAAATCATACTGTGCCTCTTAATTAAAGTTTTAAAAAAACAAACATCACTGTGAAACATTTATTTTTGTTTTGCAGTATTAAGCATGATTATTAAAACCAGTGCAGAAAAATACTAAGTACATTGGATAAGACATAAGCTAGCTATTTTAGCATTTGCTTTCTGTAAATCAGTTAAGACAATTATCATATAAGACAGCATTATTAACTCAAGGCTGTAGCTTGTAGGGTGAGATCTGGATACCCTGTACATCCTACTGGCCTCCGAAGGCGTTCAGGGGGTCATCAAATATGTTGGACCCCTTGTGTTCAGATCTTGGTTCAGGGACTGCTTGTGCAGACCGGCTTTTCGGTTTAGTTTTCTTAGCCTGGGTACCAGAGGAGAAGATATCATCTTTGATAAGAAAAACAGAAAGAAGAGAAGAAGTTACTTAACAAGTGCGAAAATGAGTGCTTTTAAGACACATCCACATAAACCACCGAAGACCCAATTTTAGTAACAGTACTAAGGTCCCTAGGTGACACAAGTGGTTTGCGTGCAGCTGCTAACCTGAAGGTTAGCAGTTCAAACCTATCCAGCGGTACCATGATCTGCTTCCATTAAGATTGCTGTTGTTGTCAGCTGTCATCGAGTCGATTTCAAGTCACAGCAACTCCGTGTGAAAAAGCAGAACTGCCCCATAGAGTTTTCTAGACCGTAATCTTTACGAGAACAGGTCACCAGGTCTTTCTCCCACAGAGTGCTGGGGAGGTAACCACTGTAATACCAAGAATCAGCTCAACGGCAACTAACACAACTGGGTACCAAAAAACACTAATACGGAAGTTGAGCCTCTTAGATTCTGCTCCCAGCACTGCCACTAATTTTATGATCACATACAAGTCACAGGTTCTCTTTGATCATAATTTTAGCAGCTACAAAAGTGTATATGGTTGTACATGCAGACACTTACACAGGAGAGGGACTGGGGAAGGATAACTGGATCTCCAGTCCAGTCCATTACCTCACTACCTGTGACATTATATTTACTGTATATTCTTTTCACACTGGATTTTAAAGGGGCAATAAAAATAAGCAAAGGGAAATCCAATACAGGACTCAACCTCTTTCAGAATAAATGCATCTATGTGAGGCATTGCAATGCTAAGAATGGTTAAGTCTTTGTGACTACACTCGTGCTCACTGCTTCACTGACTTTAAAGCCCACCTTACCCTGTGACCCAGTGATGTTACTGCTTGGATTCTATCCTACAGAGACTTTAGCACGTGTACATAAAAATATGTGTACACAGATGTTAAAGACCACATTATATGTAATAGTAAAAACTTAGAAACAATCTAGATGGGCACCAACAGGCTAACATAAAAATACTACACACTCACTAAAAACAAGAGTAGATCGCTAGGTACTGACATGAAAGATGTCTATTAAATAAAATAGTAAATGACTAAAAGGAACAGCATAACAGATATAATACAGTGTCATTTCTGAAAAAATGGGTATACGTTTATATGTATACAGACATAGATTAATATCACCATGTCTGAAAGGATAAATGCCAAACTGTTAGTAATGGTTACTTACCTCTGGGGTTCTATTTCACTTTTTTACATTTTCTGAATTGTATTAACTTATACTAATGAGCTTGTGTTACTTTTTTTATAATAAAAGAACGCGTGAAGTCTCTTCGGTGTCCTGCGCAGTGAGAAGCAGGTGGACACAGAGCACACGCCTGGCTGGGAAGCATGCCCAGTGCTGGCGGTTCAGCACCAGTTTTCCTCCAGTTAGACCCAGGTGTAGACTGGCGGGGGGCGGGGGATGTATATTTGGCTCAGGCCCAAGTCTTATCCACCAAACACAGAAGCTCTACATTGAGGATTCCTGGCATTTGTCTGGCCCATTAATAGATCATACACCACGAAGGGAAAATAAGTATTTTTACAGACGCTGAAAATCTTTGCTGAAATGTAAAGCTTGATTTATTTATAACCCACTTTTCTGTATAATCCTACACTCTTCCTGCACTGCTCCTCGATTCTCTGAGCCACTGACACCCTCCAGCTAGAATTCCAACGCAACCAACCACGGTGCATCTGAGTCATCCACCTTCAGCCTGCTGTAGCACCTGGGTTGTTTCTGGTCCTCCTTTTATAATGTCAGAGTGGGGTTCCCATTTGTCACAGATGGCTGGGAGGGGGTGTGCGGAGGTAAAGTTCTACTAAACTTAAAGGTCAAATTCTGGGCTCCTTCAAACTCCTTGATGTCCATCCATCATACCAAAAAGTTGTTTCACTTAAAATACTAGTCGTCCATTTATTTATCCGCCTAATATGGGGGATTACACAGCAAACCAAAAGAAACCCACTGGGAGCATTTTCCAGGAAAGGATCAAGACAGTAGCAGGAGAAATATCAAAGACTGAATGGTAACAATTCTATGTCTTATGCAGAAAAGCAAACTTACCCATATCATCATCAAATATAGACTTAGCTTCCACTTTCTTTTTGGACTTTTCTTTTGGTTTTACAGTTAAGTCAGCAAAGATATCAATGTTATCATCAAATAAGTTGGATTCTAATGTTCTTTCCTTCTCTTTTGTTTTTTGTGCGGGTTTAATTGCTTCTGCAGCAAATATATCATCCTTGTTTAGCCAAAAAACAAGGAAAACAAGTTTAAATCAACAATTTGTTTCACTAAAAATACTTATTTCAACAAGTTACTGAAATGCAAACTGCCAGAGTTCTGGGTCTCTAATCTGGAACAGCCACTCCCCCTGCTCCCTCTGCCTGGAATGTTCCACCCTATATCTCTGCATGGCAGGATCCTTCTCTCTCTCCTAGTCTCAACTCAAATGGCACCAGCTCTGCAGAGAGGCCACTCTACCAATCCTCTCTCTCAAGAAGCACCGCCCACCCTGACATCATCACTTCTGCCCCACTGCCCCGGGTTATTTGAAAACATCTTCATTATCGTGGTGTTTCTATCCCCTTTCCCTCCCTGAGAGCTCTGGGAGAGCCAAACACCTTGTACCACCCACAGCACCCAGAAGCTCAACAAGTATCTGGCAAGCAAGTGCCTCTGAAGGCCTTCCTGCAGGCAGTGCCTGTTCCCCCATGATCAGAGGGTAAGCGCTCAAGCTGGACCAATATACCAGAGTACCATTCCCAGGAAGCTAATTATATAAACAGTCTGCTAAAATCTATAAAAATCAAGACCCATATCAATTGTTATGACCACCCAAGAACTGGACCCTAATGATACAACAACAACAAAAACAATAATGTAGCAGGAGATCCTAATTACAATTACTAAATAAATAGGCACCAGGCATGCACGAAACAAGCCTAACATGATCTGTGGCTCAAATGAGCCGACACAGAACCAGGCATAAAAATGTATTATGATGTCCTGTTACCTCAAAAACATCTTGTGTTTTGAATATAACATCTTGCTGACTACTGGATTTTAACCCATTCTTCTTGCCTTTCTGATCTGTAAAGAGATTGTCTTCATCTTCCAGGAGAGGAAACAGGCTGACCTTCTTTGCTGGTTTTGGTTTGACAGACTGGAAGAGATCATCGTCACTGCCTGCCTCATCAAGAGCAGAGAAGATACTGCTCTGTTCTCTACTGCCCCCTGGCTGGCTGGCCTGGGCCTCTGCTGCCTTCTCCTTGGCTTTTGTTCTCCCCGTGGACTGAGATCCAGTGCTCTTGGAAAAGATATCCCCAGAATCGAAAAGGTCATCCTCAAGAAGCTGACCCAGAGATTTTGCAAAGGGGCTTCTGTCCACTTCAGGCACAGGACTGCCTTCCAAAGTCGGAGTGGCAGCTGCCACAGAGATGTCTTCTCCATCAGCTGCCTTGGGCTGTGGCTGGCGGAAATCTGGTAAGACGGTGCCGTCTGCTAACTGTGCAGTCGGTCCGCTGGGAACACCCATGTCCTCTGCCTCACTGGACTCCTGGGCAGCCAGCCGCCGAGCCGCACGGGTCTGAGGTCTGCGTCTCCCTCTCACTTTGACTCGGCTCTGCAATGGCATAAAATCATATGTTGATCTGTGACAAAAAAAAGGACTCAAAGCTAACATAGCAGAGAATCAGTGACTCGAAATAGTGTAAGTTTATCTAGTCCACTATAATCAAGATACTACGTAAGACACAGAAGAGGTTATTTCTGAAGAAGGGTTTTCATTGCTACTAGGGCTCCAAGACTAAATCACTCTTAACCCTTCACTGTCCCTCATGTTTGAGTCTCCTGAGTGTAGTTTCAGTTCAGATTCACACAAAGGCTTCGTCTGCCACTGGAAGCCCAGATCATGGACATGTTGGTGCCGTGTCCTGCAGCCCTCCTGCCCCCATTCTGTCCTGAATGTGGATTTGGGTATTTTTCAAAACAAGAAAGAATCAGGCGGAGTTCTGGTAGTAATCTTTTTATTAGGGAGCTAATCTAAAATCAGGAGCCCTGGTGGTGCAGTGGTTAAAGCACTCAGCTGCCAACCAAAAGGTCAGTGGTTCGAACCCACCAGCCATTCTATAGGAGAAAGATGTGGCAGTCTGCTTCTGTAAAGAATTCCCTTGGAAACCCTTTGAGGCATTTCTACTCCATCCTATAGGGTCACTATGAGTTGGAATCAACTTGATGGCAGTGAGTTTTTTGGGTAGTATAATCAGGCTCCAGGAGCAGAGAGACATAAGACAATCAAGAAAGAGAGGTAATCTAGGGTGCTGTTTTCTTCAAATCAACAAACACTAAATTCAAATTTCATGTAAAAAATATGGATTAGAAATCAGAGCTCTTCATATAATTTCGAAACTTGAGTCAGTTATCAGCAATAATATAGTATTTGTGATATTTTCCAAAATATACAATTAACCAGAGTTTTGAGAAGGCACAACCTACTTTGGGCAAAGTACTTGACTGGACTGCATTTGCCAATTTCAAAGAAATTTTACAAATAATTTTAAGAAACAGTCAATTTAAAGTAAACCAAAAAAAGTGTATGGGAAAAAAGTCTAACACAGAAACGACAGGGGGCTTTATTTTTCACATGCTTTCCAGAGGGAAGACAGCTTTGGGAACAGTTGGTGTGAATGTATTTTCCAGTGCTATCCTACAACCTGTCGCTTATTCAGAGATCAGCTAAGACTTTCTAGAGAAGACAGATCTGATAAAAAGATGAAAACCAACTAAAATGAAAGCAAAGCGTAAAGAGTGTTCAACAGTCCACTGGGGAAACACTGGTATGGGGTGACAGGGCTGCACTAGACTGTGGGTGACTGCAGGGGGATCTCAGAGGGAGTCTGGGGTGGGGGGACAAAGGGAAAACTTTACACAAGTGGTGACCTTTGAGCAGAACTTTAGGTAAGAAAGAGCAACCCAGTCAGACGAAGTGGCATGAGCTGATGGGCAGCACAACGGGGCATGTGTGTCCAGGGAATGGTGCCTGGAGTGACCTGAGTCCAAGCTGTGAGTGGGCGACGGACAGGGAGTGAAGCTGGAAACAAAGGCTGGCAGGGACTGTAAAGGGCTTTAATACCAGCCAAGGAGTGGAATGTTCTCCTCTGGGCTGTGAGAGCCAGCAGAGGAACGACACGAGGTGCTTCCTTCAAATGGGGAGGCAGACGACCGTGTGTAATTGATGGGCTAGAAACAGACATACAGGTTGTTCTAGTTAGGAAAAAAAAATGAAAGCAAAGATGGTTTTATCACCTTGTTTGCACTGTGTAAGGTGTCTGCCTGAGCTGGAAGTTCAAAACTCACGCCGGCCTCCGCACTTTGGGGTTCCGATGGAGGAAAAGCCAATTTGGGCAGCACAGGCTTTGCTCCAGGAGCCTGGGGAGCTGCTGCTGGCAGCAAGGCCACTGGGTTAATCGCTAAATTTGCCTGAAGAAGAAAAACAAAACTTACTCTGTATTCTTTCTTAAACGCAGCAGTCTATTATTATTACCATGACATATGACGAGAGACTCAGTGTACATAATGCATAGTACCAGAGAAGAAACAGAAATGCAGGGAAATCTGATCCAGTCCAGAACTGAGACAGAAAATCATACAACTGTACCCACCACTGGGATCAAAGAGAAAATGTTAAAGACGTGGCACACGAGAAGCAACAACTAGAGGGTGGGGAAGAGACGGGAAAACACTTGGCAGCAGCCGACAAAAGTAAAAATCAAAACAAGGTTATAGATGCCACAAGGCAGGGAATGATGAGTCCAGAGGTGTTATAATTACTTGTATTTTCCCGATCCGAGTGGATGGCTCTTTGGTTTTAAATGGAGCAGGGCCTGACGAGTCCTGCATGAAATTGTATTCAGTTAAAATCCTCTGAGGCAACAGCCAGAAAAGTGTCTCTTCGATTATACTAATGCCTATAAATTCTCTAGAGTGGAAGACAGTCTGTCATTCTCTGTAGCTCTATAATGGAAAAGGCATTCAAATCTCTCCTGGGGCCTCAAAACATTTCACTAACATCAATTCACTTATCTCTCCTCACCTGAAATGGAGGTGGAAGGAGCTAGATCTTACATGGAGTAGAGACAGAGATGACAAAATTCACAAGAATAACAGTTTATCAGAGCATCAAAACCTAACCAACTGGCAGAAATACCATGTTGGTTATCAACCAGTACAGAAAAATTCACCCACAGCCTAATGCACCAGGTACAGCAGCGACAGAACCTGAGGCTTGAGAAGAGTCCCTTGAGATCTGCTAGTCCAAGTGTCTCATTTAGGACACTGCAGCCTCAGGGAGACATCCAGGGGCACCTGCCAGCCAGAGCCCACATCTTCAGCCCTGGCCTGTTCCAGAGAGGAGCTCTGCTGAGGAGGGAAGTCTTAACAAAAATAATCCTGGAAGAAGTAACAGTGAAGGGCACCTAAGAAATCAGATTTAATTTATATTTGATTATACTCCAAGGTATCCCAGAGGGAAAAATGGGGGTTCTGGCCTGAAGAAGACTATCATCTTCTCTTAAGTCTATCCTGGAATCAAATATAAGAACAACTCTGAACATGACACTGACAAGTAGAGACTCATGACACTCTGGAATGTGGAGTAAAGAGGGGAGATGAAGAGGGGTTAAAAGGTACAGGCGGTCCCCGGGTCACCACCGAGATCTATTCCTGAGTCTGCCTTTAAGTCAAAATTAGTATGTCAGAACAGGTCCATACGCTTCTCATTTAGCCTTACTTTAGTGCAAGAAAAGGCTCAAAGCAGTTTCAGTTATTTAAAAGCTGCACATGCATCAAGTAAAGATGACTGTGATGAAAAATCTGCTGAGAGTGGGGGCTGGTTCAATCGTTTCAAAGTGAGGACAAGTCTACGTAACATTAAAGGGCAAGATGAAGCTGTCAGTTGGACGTTCGTAACCTGGTGACTTACTGTACGGTGAAGAAAGATATGTAGTCCAAGTTACTGCTTCCTCCTTGTTAAGAGAACTCTAAAAACTCAGTAATTTGGGGTTTGATTACTGGAGTTTATCTGTACTGAGATGCAAACAAGAACTGAAAATCCTTTAAGCAATCAGTTCTTACCTGAGGTGTTTCCAGTTTCCATATGTTTTTTTCTTTGATACCTTGAGTGGATTCAGGATGTTTCTGGTTCTTGGCAGAGGAGACAGGGTGGTCTTTTTTCACTACCCTCTTCTTTTCTGGTATCTTCAAAAGAAAACGAGTACCCAAAATCTGTCAAGTATCTTAGGAAATTTTTTTTTTAAATCATAATACCAAAAAAAAAAAAAGAACTTGGCTTCTGAGTTTGAGAAGTTCCTTCTCAAATGAAGGTTGGACTAACTCAAAGGCAGCTAATCTGAAAGCACATTCTGAAGACTGTGACCTTCTCTGGAGTTCTCTCTAAATAAGAAGAGGGTACTTACAAAATCGACTGGGGCAGGGAAAAATGACACACATATACAGACTCAGATAGAAAGCTTTGTACCTGAAAGGCATGCATATTTTAGTCACCATATTATATGCATTTGTCTTTCAATAAACAATTTTAAAATCAAGCAAATTTAAGACACACTGAGAGAGCCTGGATTAGTGTTGTAGATTTTGAAAGAGTCAAGTAATGTAAGACGGGGGACAATAAGAACTGAGAGTCACATCCTGTGTCACCCTCTCATCAGCACATCAGTTGCCATTCTTTTACTGGTAAGCCCCATAATTCTCTGTGACTTTCCCTAATCATATGATTGGACGTTAACTTCCTCTCCCAGTGTCCTTCCAACACTCCCCAGTATTGAGAACAAAAGGCTGGTACCAAAGGCTGGGACTTGGCAGAGCTGAAAAGATCATCATCTTCATCATCCTCAAACAGGCTCCCAACACTTGGCACTAACAACTAGAATAGATAAAACTCAAATTCAATACTCAACTCAAAAACAATTTACAGACAGCTAAGCAACAATGAGATATTACCAAGACAATATCTAATATAATAGCAAAGTCACAATGTGGAAAACTGACCCCAGTCTTTTTTGTGCCAGAGAAAAGGTCAACATCTGGGTCATTGTCCTTTTGCAGTTTGTGACTGAATAGGAGCTCTTCATCCTGAAAGACACCTGTGCTCTTGGGGTGGGCATCAGAATCGGGATTCTGGGAAAACAGAGGGAAAGTCACCCGTGTTTAAAGCTTGTAAGAATTTATCTCAAGAAAATCAGAGCGAGATGCATAGACAGACGCAGTAAAGATGTCTCCTGCAGTTTTGATTACAATGGCAAAAGCATGGACACAGCCTAAGTACAAATCAGTAAGGACTTGAATACGTTCACACAACGGAATACAGTGCAGCTGTCAAAATGAGTGAAAAGTATATTCACATATACCGACGGTATATATACAGTCCTGCGTCACGTAACATCCGTTCGGGCAACTACCGACCGCAATACATCCGTGCTCCCATAACATTTTTGTTTCTTTTCTTTAAAGGGGAAAGTAGCTCTCCTTCTGTTTATTATTTCCCCCTAATGGTTTTAAAGACCCCAAACCCCCAGAGTGAATGAGCAGCGGTGCTCCTGGGCGCATCCCAATTGCCATAGCACCTCCTCCCCCTCCTCCTGGCTTCATTCACCTGCCCTGCTGCACGTGACCAGCCACACTCTCGGCACCCGCACACCGCTCCCCACCCGGTCCCCGCAGCTACCTCTCCATGCCCCCCGTGTGCCCCCTGCCCTGTACCCTGGCCCTCAGTGGCACACCCAGCAAGGCCAGCCTCCTGTATCCAGTGAATACAGCTCTTGGGCTTTGTGGGGCAGGCAGGCGGTAGCAGGTCTGGGCTGCTCCCACTCCTCAGGTGGGAGGAACAGCAGGCGGGGCTGGTGACTGCCTGTATATAACGTGGTGTTCACACAACATCCAAACTGCATAATGTCATATTTCACAGAACGTATCGTGGACATTAAGTGACACATGACTGTATAATCTAGAAAGATCTTCCTTCAACCTTATGTCTGAACATTTTAGTTAGCAAAAAAATCCATTAGTTCCGTAATGAGAAATATTTTAGGGGTAAACGCACACAAAATTAAACTAATTCTATCTTCTTTCCAAAGAAGAGTTAACAGCTAGCTTAATCCTAGAAACTGCACAGAGTGGTCCAGTGTGCCTTCCTAACTTACCAACATCAGTCCCAAGATGGACTACAACCTGGCACAGGTCGGGCCAACAAGCCTCTCCTTTGCTCTCCCATCATTTCTGAAGCAAATTATTCATACTCACTGTATGCAGCTCTCACATATACAATGGGATTATATTACTGGGATAAATAAAAAATATTCATAAAACTTTTTTGTTAGAAATCAACAAATACCTTCTTGAGTCTGATATGGAAAAGGGACTGGCAATCTATGAAATGCCACCTGTTTGTTGTTTTTTTTAAAACAACTTTATTAAGATAAAATTCAGCTACCACGAAATTCACTCTAAGTGAATTTTTAGTATATTTAGAGTTTGCAAACATCACCACAATCTTAAGTTTAGAACATTTTTATCACCTTAAAAAGAAACCTGAATCCATTAGCAGTCAGATTAGAACTGCTCCACAGGGTTTCCTAGGGGCACCTGGTGGATTCAAACTGCCCACCTTTCAGTTAGCAGCCAAACGTTTAACCACTACACCACCACAGTTTCCAGTCACTCCCCATTTTCTCCCAAATGTAGGCAACCACTAATCTACCTTCTGTCTCTACAAATTCGCCTATTCTGGACATTTCACATATATGGAGTGGTACAATACGTGGTCTTTTGTGACTGATTTCTTTCAATTAGCACGTTTTCAAGGTTCACTCACATCGCAGCATTATCAGTACTTCATTCCTTTTTCCTGCCAAATGATACTCCAGTGTGTGGATGTACCACGTGCTATCAAGCCATTCATCAGCTGATGGGCATTTAGGTGGTTTCCACTTTTTTGAAATGGAAAATTATTCAAATTATGAATAATGCTGCTGTGAACATTTGTATACAAGTTTCTTTGTGAACATGTTTTCATTTCTCTTGGATACATACCCAGGAGTAGAATGGCTGGGTCATGTGGTAACTACTTTATGTTTAACAATTTAAGGAACCAACAAACTGTTTTCCAAAGTAACCACACCATTTTACATTTAATTTTCAACACCATTTGAATGAGGATTCTAGGTTCTCCATACCCTCACCAACACTTGTTATTTTCATTCTTTATTGTATCTGTCCAGGTGGATGTAAGTGGCTTCTAACAGTGGTTTTGATGTACATTTCCCCAAAGGCTAATGGTGTGGAGCGTCTTTTCATGTGAGTAGTGGCCATCAGCAGGTCTTCTTCAGAGAAACGTCTATTCAGACTCTTCGACCATGTTTAACTGGCGTATCTGTCTTTTTAATACTGAGTTGTAGGAGTTTTTTTGATATATTCTAGAGCTAAGTCTCTTATCAAATACACGATCTGTAAACATTTTCTTGCATTCGTCCATGTCTTTTCACTTTCATGGTGTCACTTGAGGCACTGAAGTTTTTGATTTTGATGGATTCCAATTTGGCTATTTATTCTTTTGTCTCTTATGCTTTCAGTGTCCTATTTAAGGCAGCTTTGCCTAATCCAAGGTCTGGAAGATTTAGGCACATGATTTTCTTCTAAGAGTTGTGCAGTTTCAGCTCTTACGTTTAGGTTTATGGTCTATTCTGAGTTTATTCTGTGTATGGTACGAGGCGGAAGTCCAATTTCATTCTCTTGCATTTGGAAACCCAGTTGTTTCAGCACCGTTTGTTGAAAACAGTATTCTATCCCCACTGACTTGTTTTGCACCAAACCAGTGAACCATAAACGTGAGGGTTTATTTCTGGACTCTGTATTCTATTTCACTGACTTATCTATCTATCCTTATCATTTTCAGATTATACATTGCTAGTATATAGAAACTGAATTTCATATATTGATCTTGTACCCTACAACCTTGCTGAACTTATTAATGTTCTAAATGATTTTTGTAGTGGATTCCGAAGGATTTTCTTTGTCATCTGCAAAATACAGTTTATCTTCCTTTCCAATCTTGACTCCTTTTATTTCTTTTTCTTGCCTAACTGCTCTGCCTAGCAGTGGCGAAAGCAGACATCCTTGTCTTGTTCCTGATCTGAGGGAGCAGTAACATCTGGTCTTTAACCATTGAGTATGATGTTGCTGTCATAGATGCCCTTTATTAGGTTTTATGCCTAGTATGTTGAATCTTTTGATCATGAAGGGTGTTGGATTTTGTCAAATGCTTTTCTGTGTCTGCTGAGATGATTGTGTGAGTTTTGTTCTTTATTCTATTGATATGGTGTATTATATCAATTGATTTTCTGATATTAAACCAACCTGGCATTCTTGGGATAAATCTCGTTTGTAATGGTGTGTAATCCTTTTTCTATTTTGCTGAATTCTGCATCTATATTCATAAGAGATATCTGACTGTAGTACTTGTGATATCCCTGTCTGGTTATGACATCAGGGTAATACGGGCTTCACCTCTTTTTATAAATAGAATTTTACTGGAACACCATGACGTCCTTTCATTTTCACATGTTCTGTGGATGCTTTCGTGATACCAGTGGCAGAGCTGAGCTGCTGCAAGAGAGACCATATGGTCTGCGAAACCTAAAATATTTACTATCTGGCCCTTTATAGAAAAAGCTGCTGCCATCTCATAAACATGAAAGGTTCATCTACAACATCTCCTTCTAAAACTCTACACTAGAAATAGATCTGGCCTCGCTTCTCTTTCCTTTTGCTTATACCCTATAACAGAGCAAGGGGCAAAGGTTTTGTAGGAGGCACAAAATCCAGGAGAAGCAGGCACAATTCTCATCCCCTGACAGCAATGTTACTTGGGAAAAGGGTCACTGATTTAGATTCCCAAACATCTATATGACTGAAGAGAATCATAATCTGTACTCAAGGCTAAGATTTCTTCAGCAAATGACAGAACTGACATCATAATACGACATTCTTGTATCTTCCTGAAGACATGAACCTTTATTTGCTTTCTGCTCACCTTTCCTACCTCTTTCCGTGGAGCTCGGACGTTGCTTTGATCTTTGGTTTTATCCCCCTCCTCATCAAACAGGCTGAGCACGGTTTGGGTTCTACCCTTGGCTCCTTTCTCCGATGGTGGTGATGAAGAAAATAAATCAGAATGTTTGACTGCTGCCTGAGCAGATGCAGCCAAAGGCCCTTCCTGAAAATGGAAATGAGGGATAAGTAAGACCTAAAAACACAAATACTCTCATGGGCCTCCCAAGCTCCTCAGTTCTTTAGCTGACTGCCACGTCTGCATGACAGCTTAGCACGCCTATTCCCAGGTCACAAAACACTGAGGTCAATTCTTGATCGACTGCTCCAATGGAGAGTCTCAGAGAGATACTCAATTTTTCCAATCAGTTTTGAGCCATGGGTATACCCCCACATCAAGTGAAGGGAGGTTACAGCCCTGATTCACATAGTTGCTCATGAGCTAGAAGTAATTTCTAAGTCACAGAGGTAACACAAATGCCAATCACTGGAAATTGATCATAAGTTTCTAGTATTTACTTAGTATATGAGTCCCAAGGGAAAACCTAATCAACAAAATGAGGTAAACTTTAGGAGGCTCACACTGTATATATCAGAAGAATCTCTACAATAATCCTGAAATGCAGCATTCAGTCATTAGAGAACAGGTACTGAATTTCAACTAACATACCACTGACCATAAGAAGCACCATTAATGCAGCACCAAAAAAGAAAAAACAGCTCCCATTTAAACTATAACATGCCACCGATTCTGACATGCATCCCAATTTCAGAGTGGCTAAATGGTGAAAAAATATGCTTCTTATAAGAAATATATTATTTACAAAGTGCCTACTGTGTGCAAGGCTATGTGCTAAGTGTTACAGATATAGTGGTGATCAATCAGACCTAGTGCCACTCCTCGAAGAGCTCACAGGCAGTGGAGAGGGCAGTACAACCAGCAACTAGAGCCAAGTGTGGAATGGGCTATGACTGGGGTAAGTCAGGTGCTGCAGGAACATACAAAAGGGTCTATAGTGCAACTGTGGGGAAGACAATGTTATACAATGACCCAGCTACAAGTAAAATGCATGAATCACAACAGCCTTAAGGAGGTTCGAGAGCAAAGTGAAAGCAGCATAGGCTCTAGGAGAGAGATTAACCTCAGCAGGTACACACAGAGCAGCAGACAGGGTACAAGAAAAGTTAGGGAGAAAAAAAGTGAGCAGAGATGGAAGGCAATCGTGGATATCAGATCCCCAAATGTAGCCAGCAGTACCATCCCCTGGCCTCCTGCAGGAGAGGAGGCAGTCCAGGAGAAGAAAGCTAAGAAAACATATTTTACTGATTCCGTAATTCATAGTGTGGTGAAATGCATTCCCTCACATAGCCTTTTGCCTTGGTTCTTTGGAAAGCAAACAGCTGGAGAGGTGCTCCCCCTAATCCCTGAGAACTTATTCTTGCCCTAGTTTTCCACCCTAGAGGGTTTGTTACATTTCCTGGGTAAGCTGCGAACAAACGTGGCTTGATACTTTTTATCTGGTCCTGGGCTGCAGCCTACCCTGTGATCCGTATGCACCTTGCAGGAATTGGTCAATATACTATGCAAAGTGACTACACACTATGCAAATGATGTGACAATAGCCTACTATGCAAATGAAGTGTCTGTGGCCTACTGAGAGGGGACTGGTCAGTTTGTGGCCCCTGGTGGGAGAGGCCATGCCTTGAAACTGACCACAAGTTTGTGTATGTAAGTAGCCAGCTCCACAGAAGTTTTAGAGACAGAAAAAAGCTGGGAGAAGCAGACAGAAGAAAGAAGAGAGAAGAAGCAGAGCAGAGGCAGAGAACCTCCTAAAAGAGCTGTAACACAGATCAAGGCTATAACATTGAAGACAGCAAGCAGCCCAGAAGGGGCCCTGGGGCAGAGTCAGTGGTGACAGACGGCAGGGCCGAGAGGAGGCCTGTCCTCACAGGGCCAAGAGGAGCCTGTCCTGAGGGGGTTGAGAGGAGGCTTACACAGTTGAGAGGCGCTGAGACACTTGTCCTGCACTGAAGAAGGGAGACTTCGCCTGCATGCCTCTTGATCCTGATCCTGAGTTGCAGTCTGTTCCTTGATAAAAAACTTAACTATAAGTATGGTCTGTGAGTTCTATGTGGCCACTGCAATGGATTATCTAACCCAGAAGAGAGGGAGACAGTGTCACGGGAGGGACGGCTGTGTCAGAACTGACAGAACACTGGCCAAAGGAGGTATGTCTGACTTCTACCTCATAGGGATCAGCCTTGGGCTGATCTTGATTTGCATTATCCCCGCTAAAGTTAGACAGGTTCTGATGCTGATACTACCACTATGCCATTTTTACACGTAATAAATACAAAAAGATGGTCAATTAAAATTCTCTTACAACTGGATCATGCATTTTAACTCAAGTACAGCTAGGGACTAGAAGAGAACCAAGGGTAACATAAAAACTACAGAGAGAGAACAAGTTAGAAATGGCAAACGTACAGAGAAAGCCAAAATGAAAACTAAGATGTGGAGAGAAAAACACAAAATGTACACCCACACAATACGACCATAATGTAAAACAGGAGAAATGCACATCGCTGTGTGGGCACATATGCCTACAAGATGGCTAAAAACAAAGAGCAGGTGTTCAAGGTTTCCCTCAAGGTCTGACCGTAAACTTTCTTCTTCATCTTTGCCAGTGCTTTTGAAATTTTCTACAAACAAATCCTATATTTTCTATGGTGGAAAATGTGAAAGTTTTTTTGTTTGCTTGTTTTAAAAGAAGACATGAGAAACACACATATTAGACTACATAGGAAGGAAAAAAGTCCACCTTTCCCGACTCCTCCACCGCATCAGCTCTCCCAACATCTGACGACCCCATGGCACTGCCGCCATTCTCAACCACAGGCTTCGCTCCAAGTGGGGCCTCCCTCTCTTCTTCATCACTGAACAGCAAAGGCGGCTCCTGAGCAACTGTCTCTTTTTTCTACCAAAAGAAGAAGAGTAAACGACATCCTGAAAAACAAAAATTATACCCGACTGGAATGGCACTGCACAGATCAAGTCAAAACCACAGCCCTCCTTACGACGTTAGCTGATGTGGTGGGGAAGTGAAAAGAGGATAGTGAAGCTGGGACCAAAAAAAATGATACAACCTTGCACCTGCAACAGGGCACGTCACCGTTTCTGCCACCATCCTCCGCACATCTCCTCGTCTCTGCCAAGCCCACTGCTTCTGCCCTGGCTTATGTACTTGTTCTGCCACACTATTCCTTGTCTTTCCTCTCTGCCTCCCTCCCTCCCCTGAAATTTCATCATGCCCAACAAACTCAGCCAGAGCTGTCTTGCTAAAATAAACATCCACCAGACACTTCATCCCAATCCTAAACCTGCACTGTTTGCACTAGCAAATACTAAACATGTCAGCCAAGAGACACTCAGCACCATCCTTCTCTTCACCTGCGCTACACCATCACTCCTACACCACTGCCGCGCCCACATGGCCACTGCCGCCCCCCCACGGCCGCCGCCGCCCCCACACGGCCGCCGCCGCCCCCCACTACCGCCACCACTCCCACATCACCACTGTGCCTCACCACCACTTATACCAACTGTGTACTTCCACACTTCCAGACTTGCTTCTCTCTGTCTTGTAGAAGCAAATCTTCCTCACCTCTCAAGGCCCAGCTCAAATGTAACTCGTGAAGGTTTTCCAGTTCTCTTCAGTAATTACCAGTTGCTTCACTGATATGCATATTATTTACATTCACTGTGCCCTCACTTTACTTCTTCCTCACTTAAATTAATAGCTATCCCAGGTCTGTTTTGTTCACCGGTTTGAAAGGACCATACTGACTATTTCCATGGCCAGTCACTGTGTTTGAGAGGTGCTCAGCACAAGTCTGCAAACACTTTGGTCCACCGCTCATCTACTGCTTGTCTAGGAGGCAGAGGTTATCCAGATTAGGAAACTGAGAAACGCGATTTACCTAGAGTTATCGACATCCCTGGGGCAAGTGATTGCTCAGCCAGTTCTTGAGGAGAAACTAACTCTATCATATTAACTGGAAAGATGATATGAGGAAGTAAGCTTTTCAAAAATGTCTAAATCTAGTTAGGGAAAACCTGGTGGTGTACTGGTTAAGAGTTAGGTTGCTAACCAAAACGTTGGCAGTTCAAATCCACCAGGCACTCCTTGGAAATCCTGTGGGGCAATTCTACTCTGTACTTTAGGGTTGCTAAGAGTCAGAATCAACATGATGGCCAACAGGTTAGGTTTTTTTTTGGTTAAATCTAGTTGGGAAGGCAGATTTAGGAAACCTTAAGGACAATACTAGGTATGGGAGAGAAAAAAGTTATGAATGAAGTTAAAAAGAATGAAGTAAGGGAATTTACAGGTATTGCTGGGAAAAGGTCCTTAAAATGGACAATCGTTCACCTTGATATAGAAGACCGAAGGCTCATAAATTTCAGAAAAAATCTGGTAACAATGAAGTGATTAAAAGGAAAAAAAATCGTGGAATGTGCTGGACTCACTGAAAACTATATATGCTGGACACAAGTTAATTGGGATAAAAAAGATACTTAAATACAGGGAAACATATTCTCCCTTCATAGAACTGATTCTTACAACTAGGAAAATGTCACCTAAACTACTGGTTTTAAATCTTCCTAAAGAAAAGCTGACTCCTCATCTTCACCATGAAATTTTTTTAACATATATTCATTTTTTAAAAATTTTTTATGGTACTTTAGATGAAGGTTTACAAAACAGTTTCTCATTAAACAGTGAGTACACATATTGTTTTATGACATTGGTTAACAACCCCAAGACATGTCAACACTCCCCTTTCTCGACCTTGGAGGAGCTTTTTTTGGTGAAAATATACGTAGCCAAAGTTACACCATTTCAAAACTTTCTACATGTACAACTCAGTGACATCAATTACATTCTTCTAGTTGTGCTGCTTTTCTCACTATCCTTTTCCAAATCATTCCATCACCATTATCTTCAAAACACTGCCACCCAGGCTTCCCATCAAACCCTTTGAGTTGCCGTTGTCAATTTGATCTCACACAGATTTTTTTTTTTTTTTTGTACCTTAGATGGAGGTTTGCAGAATAGTTTATCATTAAAGAGTTAGTATGCATATTGCCCTATGACAATGGTTAACAACCCATGACATGTCAACACTGTCCTTTCTCAACCTTGGGTTCCCTATCACCAGCTTTCCTGTCCCCTCCTGCCTTCTAGTCCTTGTCCCTGGACTG